GTGAGCAGCTATCAACACCTATGGAGACTGCAACAGCGGTCAACAGCTAGCATAATCTATGGAGACTTCAACAAATGCCGGCAGCGAACATACGTGGAGATTGCAACAGCGGTCAACAGCTAACACCAGATACAGAAACTTCCAAGATTGCCGGCAGCTAGCACTCATGGATACTGCAACAGCGGTCAACAGGAACACCAGTAACGGAGACTTCAACGGTGGCCGGCAGCTAGCACACATGGAGACTGCAACAGCGGTCAACAGCTAACACCAAGCATGGATACTTCAACGGTGCCGTCAGTAGCTTGCACCACATTCGGAGACTGCAACAGTAGACTGCAACAGCTGATGTAGATAAGCGTGAAAATTACAAAGCCGCACAGTTTGACTCCCCTTTTGTAAGTCATGCTTCGTCGGTCACTTCATAATAACTAATAGGGAAGTCATGCATGCCGCGATTGGAAGATTCATTTCGTCGATCTTTTTTTTTTCGCTCGTTGAGAGCTGAAGAGGAACACCAACTGTTAGGTATAACCCTCTGCCAAACTCAGGGGCTCTATCCGCCTGTGAACACTCTTCTCAGCCTCCTGTTACCGAGAGCCCCGGTTGTCCCGGCTCCCAAGGTCGGATGGCCGGGGCGCGGGATGCTCCCTGGTTTCTGCGAACCGGTCCGTCTGTCAGGGTCGTCCAGCCGGGGCAGCGGGTCGCTCCATCGTACCTCTGCCGCCGGGGGCGCTGGCCGAGGTCAGAGGGCAGGCAGCGGGACCTTGTGGCGCGGACGCCCCCGCGTGCCCCTGTCCGTCCCTTCCCGTCTGCTCGGGAGGGGAGGGGAGGGGGCTGATACCAGCCCGGCAGGACACCGATCTCCAATGGAGAGAACCGGGAGACAAACTATTGAAAGCCAACCAGCCGATGATGAGACCACTTGAAAGAAACCACTTCTGAATTCAGCGAATGTTTTTTTAGGAGAAAACGACTACTCTAAGGCCTTGGCTGGTCGTGCTGTTTCACAGGTCAGACTCGATTCGTGGAATGACAAGATGGCGCGATGTCATCGTCTCTCTATGGTTCACGTACAGCGCGTGTGATGAAACAGGACAAGGCAGCTCATCCCGCGCGGGTTCGAAGAATGGGTCGTGCCCGCCTCTGACAGATTGAGGTTAGCGCCTAATTCATGGTCACGTTCAGCGTTTGTTCTGCATGCAAATTTATTCCTCTGGAGATAGACTCTGTGGTATTTTAGGAGAATGTGGCCGGCAAAATATCAGCTAATTTTAGACATGCAGATATTTACCAATAACCTGTCGGAAAGGAGGAAATACTGTTGAGTTTAACGCGATGTGGATAGAGATACGATGCGCGCCGCGATGTGGATAACACTGAATCACTCAACAAAGGACGAAACGCGCGAGAAGGCACCACGACAAACAGGGACTCGACGGCGAGGAAAGATCACACATTTTTTATCCCCAGATGCATGCCTGCACTATCAAATTAGATACGCGTTGCAACGGATGAGCGGTCAAAGTTCATTATAAAATATGTCTGTAAAACGCATTTACTTGGTCATGCATCTGCAGTAAATGGCCGATTTACTCTAGTGTGTACCTACTAAGAGAGAAAAAACCTAACCGTTGAGGAGAGCGCTCTTTCAGTCGATGGTTGAGTTTCATATAACGAAGCTTCGAACAAATTCGAAAAATAAACAGCGTAACTGTTATTTTTTCGAATTTGCTGCATGACAGATATTCAGCACCTGAAATATCGTCTATTTAGTGCAAGTCAGGGTATGAATGGTGTTTTATGGACGTAGAAAGGCGAAGCACCACCTGCTTTTTAATTTACACCATGAGCACTAAACACATGTTGATTGTCGGTAAGTAGGTAGGTAGGTACTCGTGTCGGTAGGTAGTGATCGGCATCATCGTTATGTGCACGAGTATCATCATCTGAACGTCTCAGTTCTTTTAGCGTACCACTTCACTCTGAGCGTAAGTAATTGCACACACCCCATAAAGCATCGTGTGTGCCACTCCATACCACTCCAAGCAGCAATAACGACTCAACGAGCGGCAACAGCAATAAATAACGAGTAGTAAAGTAATTTTGATAACGACTGATGCCAGCCATGCATCATTTGATAGGCGTTTTCGGTTCTGTAGCGACCTCTATGCTACCTGCCCGAGAAAGGCTCAAGACAGATGGCAGCACCAGATGAGTTGGCACGATGACGCTTCACGTCGTTACCGATCGAATACTCTGTGCCATGGATAGAGGCGAAATATCTGTGCTAGTTTTGCTCGATCTATCGAAATGTTTCGATGTTGTGCCGCATGCCACACTGTTAGCGAAGCTCACCCTGTACGGCATTGATACGGACTGGTTCCGAAGCTATTTGTACGGCCATACCCAGCAAGTCCGCGTGAGCTCTATTGGGGGACGGCATCAGCTATCTAGGACTAGGGAGAATACCATCGGTGTGTTCCAGGGCGGTGCACTTAGCTGTATCATGTACATGCTGTTTGCGAATGATTTGAGCCTTGGACTGCCGAGTGACGTCACTACTGTTCAATATGCCGACGATACGCAGCTATTAGTATCCGGCAGCAAGCGTGACATCCAGAGAATCATCAGCAGCATGGAACACGCACTCAGCTATGTGTACAACTGGTTCTGTCACAACGGGATGAAGTTGAACACCAAGAAGACACAGATGGTTGTGCTGGGAACACCCGCGATGCTCCGTACGCTGCCGCCTGTTGTTGTCCGCATCTGTGGCAATGTTATAGCCGACTCGAGAGAGGTTAAAAACCTCGGTGTGTTCATTGATCGCCACCTCAGCTTTGAGACACATGTGACATACATCACAAGGAAGTGTACAGGCATACCTATTGATAGGGTTATCTCATGCGCGCCATGTCATGCCAAAACAGACGCTGAAGGTGATTGTTGAGGCACTCGTCCTGTCCGTGGTTCGATACTGCCTATCCGTCTACGGCTCATGCGGAGTCACCCAGCGCGACCGTGTACAGAAGATTGTCAACTTCTGTGCCCGTGTAGTGACAGGGAAGCGCCGTTTCGACCATATTAGCGGTGAGATACAGCGGCTCCGTTGGCTCAAGGTAGAGCAGCTGATCGACTACCACACCGTGTGTGCGCTGGCGAGTGTTATCGTGACCCAGCAGCCTGAGTACCTATGTGGAACTATTGGACCGAGATCGAGCCAACACCTACAGTACGAGACAAGCCGATCTATTCAGCCGCCCCAACATACGCACTGAATCCGGTAGGCGGAGAATGTGTTACCGTGGCGTGACACTGCTCAACGGTATATGGGGCAGATCCCTGTGAGCCCGGGTTCCGCAGAGCTGTCAGAGCGGTCGTCGGATCTGTCGATCCTCAGTGATGATCGGAGTGAATTGATGTATGAGTGGTATGCGTGTGGAACGTGAATGTAGCCTAAATTCGTCCTTTTTGTACTTGTAACTGACGTGAAAGAGTGAAAAGCCATGGTGAGTGGACTTCTTTTGAATAAATCTGAATTCTGAATTCTGAATTCACGGACCAGGATGGACAGAAAACTATGAGCGATGGTGACCTAGTTACTTCAGTTAACCCTATTAGTGGCAGGCTCCTGGCTACCCCCTATTAGTGGCAGGGGGGGGGGGCTGTTTACGACCCCCCTTGATATCTCGAGATCTAACGGGCCGATTTTCAAAATTCAAACGGCATTCGATTTCGCTCAACGTGATCTACATTTCTAAAAAATAAAAATTAAAAAATGTCAATAGGGGGGTAGAGGGGGGTAAAAACGGGCAAATTGCAGATACATTTTAGACTGTTTATCACGGCCAGGTTTCTGAACCAATCTTAACGCAACTTTTGCCGATCGATAGAGAATGAACCAGGAATTCACATGGATCCTAAAAATATGCATTTTCTAAAATCATAGGCGGATACAGATCATTGAGATTGGGGGTACACAAAAAGTATAGTAAATAAGGTTTTTGTTGGTACTGTTTCTAAAAAGGGTGGTAATGGTCTTGTTATGTTATAATTTTCTTATGAGAGAACGACTAAAATTGTATTGGTAATGCATAGGCGGTGTCAGGGCACCTATGTTGGGAGGTAAAACATAACCCCCCTTTTTGGACGCCTGGATCCGCCTATTATAGCAAAAACGTGTCAAAAGAGGATGCACAATAACTGTATATGTTATCACATGTTACCTTTTGTATCGATATGTTGAGTCGCCTATATCGATATGTTGTGAGCCGCTTATATCGATATGTTGTGGGTCGCCTTTTGTATCGATATCAACGTGTGGGCCAATAAAGGCGTGACGTGTCACTTGGTGACTTGCTGGCACGGCACGGAGCACGAAACATGGCGCAGCCTGTGGTGAACTTGCGGTTTTGATTTCTTATTTTTGGTGGGTTAAAAGCAACTTGAAGAAGTGTAAGAAAGCGAGAAGAAGCAAGACAACATCAAGCAGTGATGTCTGGATTTACCCCACCAGAACAGTTTGATTTTACTTCACCAGAGCATTGGCCCAGGCCCATGTCACTCCACTTTTGATGACATCATATGGGGGCCTCAGGACAATAATGGCGCGGCGCGCCACAATCGCTTCAAAGCTACTTGCCAACAGTTGCCATTTTTGAAAATATTATTTTGAAATAAAGTTCCAAGTAATAAAAATATTGTAATAAATTTGTTGAATAAATCGATACCATATCTAAAAACTTACTGAAAAATGATTTATTCCTAGTAAAAATATAAGCTCGATGCGTTTTTACGTTGCTTTCCTGCAACTGCAGAGGGTTTTTAAATCGTCTATATCTTCAAAACCGGCCATTTCTTAGCATATTGCTGCTCTTTTTTATCGCTAGAAAATTAGTTAGACTTTCTAATGACATCAATGGTTGAGCGATGTCTGTAGAATGTCACCAACAATCTTCAAATGAAGTTAGTCATTTTTATGTTGTAAAGGAATGGAGTACCCCTTTCGAGCATCAGGGGTGACGTCACTCAGGATCTGTCTCTGATTGGTCGGCGGGGGAGTGACTGTACCTTCTATAGATGGCCTTGCATTGGCCTCTGTGGCGCGACCGCTTCAGACGATATCGCCAGGCGTCAAAGCTAAATCTCGATGAGGAGGAAACCCAGGTCAGTGCACTTGTTTATGCAATGGGGCCAGAGGCTGAACATATTATTTTGAGCATAGCAGCTTTCCCTCACAACAATTTGAAGCTGCTGTGCGCTGTTTTGATGGGTACTTTACCCCAAAGAGAAATGTGATTGCTGAGAGGCATGCTTTTGAGATTAGAACACAAGGCGCTTCCGAGTCGAACGAAAGCTACATTAGAGCAGTGCATTGCCTTGCCGAACACTGCCAGTTTGCTGACAAAAATGAAAGGATCAGAGATCGTCTGATAGCAGGAATGAAAGATAAAAATATGTCCAAGCAGATTCAGTTACGAGCTCTGGATTCAGATGTGACTCTTGAAGTTGTGGTGCAGATGCTTCGTAATCATGAACTCGTGCATGACCCGAGTACCACAGACAATGTGAACAGGATTGAAAGCAGAGCGAGATACAAGCCAGCACCACATCAAGCAAGACGCCCAAGCCAGCCTGGACCAGCTGTTGGACGAAGCCAGAGCCAGCCAGATCCAGCCTCGTCCAGACCAAGATCAGGTCGTGGACGAGCAGGCAGAGGATCACTACTCTCCACAACATGCAGGTATTGTGGAAGGAGGAGGCATACCAGTCCGCAGCAATGTCCAGCCCTGGGGAAAACCTGTTTCAAGTGTGGTGGCAGGGACCACTTTGCAAATGTTTGCTCGGGTTCAAGCCATAGAGTTCAGAGTGTCCAATGTGTCCCAGATACTGAACATGATGAGGACCAGGAGGAAGGTTATTTTCTTGGGGTGGTTGAAGGGCACAAGAACAAGGACTGGACAGTTTCTGTTGAGGTTGGTCAAAGTCAAGTCAGTTTCAAAGTGGACTCTGGTGCAGATGTTAACGTCATGTCTCTCCAGCAGTATGAGCAGATGGTGCAGAAGCCAGACCTGCTACCCACCTCAAGACAGCTGACCAGTGTTGGTGGTGCCCTTGATGTCCTGGGAGTATTCAGTGCAACCATCAAGTACAAGCAGGTGAGCCTTGAGAATGAACATTTCTATGTTCTGGACACTTCTCAGAATCTGTTGTCACGCTCCACTGGAGAGAGGCTCGGAGTGATTGAATTCACTGGAGAGGTGAGACTGTCTCAGAATGTGTTTGGTCCAACTGGTTTGATGAACACATCACCAATCAAAATCAGGCTTGTTGATGATGCCGTACCCTCTGCTGTGCATACTGCTCGTAATGTGCCATTCCCACTGCTGAAGTCGGTGAAACAGGAACTGGAGAGAATGGAGGATGCTGGAATCATCAGGTCAGTCTCAGAACCCACCGACTGGTGTGCACCAATGGTGCCCGTTCCCAAGGGTGGTGGTTCAGTACGCATCACGGTCGATTACAAGAACCTGAACAAGTGTGTGAAGAGAGAGATCCACCCTATCCCCACCGTGGAACAGTTGACAGCTGAACTTGCAGGTTCGAGCATCTACAGCAAGCTGGATGCCAGCTCGGGGTTCTACCAGCTCCCACTGGACAGGGAGTCGCAGCTACTGACCACTTTCCTCACCCCATTTGGCAGGAAGGCATTCCAGCGGCTTCCAATGGGGATAAACCTGGCGCCTGAATGTTTTCAGAAAAAGATGCAGGAAATGCTGGCTGGTCTCGATGGTGTACTGATATACATGGATGACATTGTTGTGTACGGTGACAGTGTGACGCACGACGAGCGTCTGCAGGCAGTTCTCCAGCGGATCGAGTCATCCGGGCTGAAGCTGAACAAAGCGAAGTGCGAGTTCAAGAAGGACAGCATCATCTTCTTGGGCCAGAAGATCAGCAGCAGAGGAGTGGAACCGGATCCTGCCAAGCTCGCAGCAGTGAGAGAACTGCAGGCGCCACAGAACGAGCAGGAACTGAGGAGCCTACTTGGAACCGTCAACTATCTGGGTAAGTTTGTGCCCCAGATTCAAAGCAAGCTGAAACCTCTAAACGACTTGTTGAAAAAGGATGTAGCCTGGGTGTGGTCCCATGTTCAGCAAAAGGCTCTTGACGAAGTAAAGCAGATGCTAACTGGTGCTCCTGTGTTAGCTTTCTATGACCCAACCAGAGAGACCATTGTGAGTGCTGATGCGAGCAGCTATGGCATCGGTGGCTGTGTGCTGCAGCGACAACCCGACTCCCAGCTGAGACCCGTTGCGTTTTGTAGCAGAACGCTGACCCCATGCGAGCAACGATATGCTCAAATTGAAAAAGAGTTATTGGCTGCTGTCTGGACGTGTGAACGAATGCACATGCTACTGTCTGGTCTACCACAGTTTCGACTTGAGTTAGATCATAAACCGTTGATTCCGTTGATCAACTCAAAGAGCCTAGTCGACACACCTGTTCGATGCCAGAGACTTTTGATGCGTTTGACAAGGTACAATCCAGTCGCCACCTATGTGCCTGGAAAGCAGCATGTTGTACCAGATTACCTATCCCGGCATCCCTGCAAAGAGACCGACAATCTCGCCACTGTCTTGCAGAATGACGTCAGCGATTACGTGTCCGGCGTGATCGGCAGCCTGCCCGTGAGTGATCACCGCCTGGAGGAGATTCGGGTGCTGCAGGAGAGAGATGATGACATCTGTCGTGTCACCCAGCAGACTCTTCATGGCTGGATGGAGGGTCCGAGGGCCCTGCAGGACTACTTCAGCGTCCGGCATGACCTGAGTGTGGTGCACCTGTCGTCAGGCCCTCTGCTCCTGTACCGCAACCGTCTCGTCATCCCTTCGAGTATCAGGTCAGAGATTTTGAATAAGCTGCACAATGATGGCCACTTTGGTCTATCCAAATGCCGACAACGAGCTGACCAATCAGTCTGGTGGCCCGGGATCTCTGAGGATCTGAAGAGATATGTGAGCCAGTGTCAGTTTTGTCAGATAAACAGTCCACAACAGCATCGTGAGACACTCATACCGACTCCCGTCCCAGTGTCTGTGTGGAGTCACATTGCCTGTGACATCTGTCATCACAACGGTCACGATTACCTGATTACAGTGGATGTGCTCAGCAGATACCTTGAGATTCAACGTCTTCCCCGTCTCACGAGTTCGGCGGTAGTAGAACGACTCAAAACGCTATTCGCCCGCCATGGAATCCCCGACATGGTAACATCCGATGGTGGAACTCAGTTCACGTCACATGTGTTCCAGAACCTGTCCACCGAGTACGGTTTCCGGCATCGGATAACCGACCCTCACACGCCGTCTTCGAACGGCGCCGCTGAGCGCGCCGTAAGGACGGCTAAGTGGCTCCTCCGCCAGCGGGACCCGCATCTGGCGCTGCTCAACTACCGCGCTACGCCGGTGGAGGCGACAGGCCAGTCGCCTGCTCGTCTGCTCTTTGGACGCGAGATCCAGACTCGGCTTCCGCGTCCGCGGGTCGTCGAGTGTCAGGACTCTACACTCGACGCCGCGAGGAGGAGAGATGGCGAGAGGAAGGAGCTTCAACGAAGGAGCTTCAACAAGCATCACGGAGCTCGCGACTTGCCGCCGTTGCGGCCTGGGGATGTAGTGCGGGTGCGAACAAGGATCGACCCGGACTGGCGTGAGCGAGTGACAGTGCGTGAGCGGATCGGGCGACGAAGTTATGTGGTAGATAACAATCGTCATACAGTGAGGCGCAATCGAGGCGCCCTGCGCCTGTCACCGGGGATCGAGCCTCCCACGGGCTCGTCGGACCTCCCGGTGCCCTTGTCGGTGCGGCCGTCGCCGGGCGTGCCGGAATCTGTGCGGCCGTCGCCGGGCGTGCCTGTTGGTGTTTCAGTGCGGCCGAGCCCGACTGTCTCGATGCCGCGGCCGGCTATCTCTCCGCCGGGTCAGACGCCGGAGCCCTGTCCTTCCGCAGCGGCGAGTCCGGCAGGACCCGCAGCGGCTGTACGGGTCGCGTTCGTGATCCCCTGTACGAGTAGGCGTGTAGTCTGTTGTACCGTTTTGCTTTTTTTGGGGGGAGATGTATCGATATGTTGAGTCGCCTATATCGATATGTTGTGAGCCGCTTATATCGATATGTTGTGGGTCGCCTTTTGTATCGATATCAACGTGTGGGCCAATAAGTGACGTGCGTCACTTGCTGGCACGGCACGGAGCACGAAACACCTTTTATTCACTGTTCGTAAAACTGGGCAGCATCGTGATCTTCGCCAAAATGACTCGCTTCACGAATAGGACCCCCCAATTCCCAGGCTCTGGAGCCGCCTGGTAAAGTTATGAACTTGAAATTTTCAGGGAATGTGCCAATTTTTTAGGAAAAGTCAGAAAATTTCAGCATCGTAGC